AAGTGACACATTTCTCAGCCAGTTTCTGTGAATCTGAACTTACTTTTATGCTTTAAAGAAGTGACACATTTCTCAGCCAGTTTCTTTGAATCTGAACTTACTTTTATGCTTTAAAGGTCTCAGAGAGGTAGCCATGTTAGTCTGTAGATTAAAAAAAAAAAAGTAGTACTGTGGCAATTTATTGACTAACAGATATCTAGTATCGTGCTTTTGTGGGTAAGACCCACTTTTCTGCTCCAACTCATCTGATGAAATGAGTCTTACCCATGAAAGATCATGATATTATATATTTTGTTAACCTCTAAGGCAGGGCTACTCAACACACGGCCCACAGGCTGCAGCCTATTTGTTTGCGGTGTGTGTGGGGCTCAACACAATGCCTGTGGGTGGGATCCTTTGAACATGGCCTGTACTGGGAACACGCTCCAGGCAGGGTGAGCATTAAAAGACGCAAGCAGATGGGCTAGCTGGAATAGATGGATACAGGGTATCAGCGTTTCTAGCCCCCAGGGAGGAGATGCCAGGAGCGCTCGGACATTGTGTAAAATAAGTTATTTGCATATATATTTGCTTGTATATGCAACTACACTTAAGTTGCGGCCCTCGCCATGTTCTAGAAGTATCATTGTGGCCTCTGCGGCTTCCAAGTTGAGTAGCCCTGCTCCAAGGTACCACATGACTACTCGTTTTTATTTTTGTGCTTGTTTTGCATTCATTCTTTAGTTACAATTACTGTTTTCTTCATGGGCTCCCATGGGTCTTATTCTGTAATGTTTCCAACATGCCTTTGTTGTGCTCTGCCAGGCATCCTATTATATAGGGATTCAAAGTGGCCCCCTGTATTGCCTGTATGTTATTTAATTTCCTATTATTTCTTTGGGGAATCCATAGGGACCTCCTTTAGATCTAAATCACTTTTCCAGTGCCCTGGAAAACTGAAATTTAAACCCTTTCAATGTCACTGCTAAACTTGGGTTGTGATCCTTGCAAGTAAAGCTGCATATATAGTAAACTAGACATTGCCTGCTCCAGATAAACAGAATCCAAATGTACTGCTATATTCGGGTTCTCCTTGGATCAGTGATGATTGCTGGGAGGGACACAAGGGAGGCACCAGCCATGTGACCACCCGCCCACGACTCCTCCTGCGCCACCCCTAGCCCAGAGGAGGGCTGCCCTTCGGAGGGTGCAGGGGCGAGACAGCTCCACAGGCCCTGCCTCTTCCCACTCCACCTCCATTCCACCTCTTCCCCCCCCCAATTCCCACCTCTGCTCTGCGCCACCCTTCCTCTTCCCATCCCTGCTCTGCCTTCATCCTATCGCCACCCCTATTCCACCCTTTCCTCCAAGCCCCCTCTTGTGAGCGATGTGGCCAGGGGACTACCAGGCACAGGCATCATCATCAACAGTTGCTCCCACCTCCTGCACTTACAGGCAGTGGTGGGAAGCTGAGCAACCCATCCCCATCCTGCTCCACTGCCCTGTCTCCTAACCACATTGCTCTGGAGAAGCGCAGCTGGGAGCCAGGAGATCAGAGCAGGCTGATGTTGGATTGCTCCACTTCCTGCTGCCATTGGGTATGTCTACACTACCCCGCTAGTTCGAACTAGCGGGGTAGTGTAGACATACCCATTGATTGTGAGGGTGGGCCCGATTCCTACTGCCAGCACCAGGCTCCCTGGGAGTCCCCTAGGCCTTCCTGGCCCCACACAGCCCCCCCAAAACATGGGATCTTCCTTTGTCTTGCCTTGTCCTAATGGATGGGACAGCACCATTGCTGGCTCCTTGCCCCTTCTTCCTGGCACATGGGTGGGCACATGACCCTTCATTCCTGCCTCTTCCCCTATTTATCTTGTCTCTTATTGCTAGCCTCAGTGTATTCCTGCTTATCTTAACTAGCACAGACATCCTGACTCTAACATACTGCTTGGTAAACTCCTATTTACCATAATCCTCCATTCATCTTCTCAATCATGCCCACTAGGAAATGGGGCAAATTACTTAGGTCACACCAGGACTACAGAGAAAACTGGAAGATGAGTAGGGTTACCATATTTGAACTTTCAAACAAGAGGACACTCCTGAGAGGAAGTGTATCAGTATCTACCAACTCACGTTGTATTAATGTATTATATTAATATAACATGAGTTGGTAGATACTGATGCAGATACACTTCCTCTCAGGAGTATCCCCTTGTTTGAAAGTTCAAATATGGTAACCCTAAGGATGACTTGCCGAAAGTCTGTTGTAAAACTAGGAACAAACCACCAACTCCCAGTCCTATGTCTTAACCAATTTTAAAAAAAACTAACTGGATTTTTAATTTTTTTTTCTACAAAAGAAAATTACTGAGCTGGCAGGAAAGTGTTATGACAGTGTTAAGTATGGGAATTTATAAACTTAAAAATCAGAATAATCCAATAATTAAGTCTTCTCTTGAAACATTAACTCATCCATATGTTATATGTGTGCAGTAATTACTGATTTCTTTGTGCAGTGTAAACAAATTAATATTAACATATGCACATAAGTTTACATGGAACAAGGCAATCAGGAATAATATATCATATATGCCACATGTGTAATCTGCCTGAATTAACTTTACTGGAAAAATTGCAGATACATTTATTGAGTTTCAGTGATGGATTTCCCAAGCTTGAATTTTTGTATTTTATACATAATTACATTAAATTACTTACTGCTGTCATACTGTAAGAATGTAGACAACACATGCTTTGAAGGGTGGGTTTTGGAGATAGGAGCTGAGACCTGTTTGTGGTTGTTTTTGTTATATACAGTAAATACAATGGTCCAGATAAGCAATTGAAATCAATGTAGCTCCATTGAAGTCAATGACTTCTAAACTTGTTTATCCTACATGAAGGTCTGCCCAATATATGTTTCTGTGATGTCTACCATAAATTGGAAATAAAATAAAATGCAGTACAAAGTAAGAAACAACTAATAATTCTTAGTATTCCAGAGACTTAGTGATACAGATGTGTATGTACAACTGATCTAGCTTCAGATGCCCTCAAAGATGTAATTTTCTTGCTCAAGGTCTCTTCATGCTTTTTAAAATACCATGTATCATTGATGTTTAAAGTAGACCCAATTCATTCACAAAGAAGTCATTAGGAGCAATTTTCAGGGGAGAAGCAGAGAGGGAAGGAGTACAGGTAATATGTGTTTCTACTGTGCAAAGTAAGAATAGAACTACTGTGTGGGTTTCCATGCTTATTGTCTCCCTATGATTTCAGGATCTCCTATTCTTGATTCACAGTTTAGAAGCTGGTGCGGTTTGTTTTTTAATGGCCAATTCTATAAATTTAGCCTGTGGTCTGAGAGTGAAACTAGTTGTTTCCCGCTCATGCATCATCAGCAGTATTGAAAGTTCTGCATGCTAAATTAGGCCTTTGGCAACTAGATAACACCTTCCTCCCCCAACCTTGTAATGTGTCTCCACAGGCACAGTTGATTAGAATTTAGTAAACAGTGTGGTGATAATGCATAAAAAGGAATAGAGTCTGAAGCTAATTCTGCATTAGCTGTGTTGACTCTGCTGTGCCAATGGGAGTAAAAAGCTTAGAAATGAATTCATCTTTTACAGATTGAAAAATGCAAAATAATGGCATCCAAGAAAAAGCCACTTTGGCTTGAATTTAAATGTGCAGACCCCACAGCCTTATCAAATGAAACTATAGGCATTATCTTCAAACATGGAGATGACCTTCGCCAGGATATGCTCATTTTACAGGTACGGTTGCTAAACGGCTATGTAATATGTATAAGAACCATGTGAATAAAGTATTGTTAAAAAAAACCTTTTCCTGTCATAAATGTATGTAAATTGTATTTATGGTACACTTGGAATGTGAACTTACTATTTATTAAATCATACTATGATACTGCTCAGAAGCCTCAACCAGGACTAGGGCTACTTTTTTATGACCTGTCAGTACTTTATATCACCTTTGCATCTCATGTCTCCTGTTTGCATTTGGATAGATGATACAATTGAGACTCTGGTTTCCTTTCAAACCTTCCTTATCCACAATATAAATTCCTCATTTTGGCCCTCGGGATCCATTTCCCACTAAAGGAAAAACGTATTTTTTGTAAACTTCCAAAGATGAAAGAGGGACACATTGCATTTCTCCTGTGTGACCTTGGTGGTTGGTCTGGTGATGCTATTCTAATAGCCCAGTTTACCAATATTCGAATTTTGGGGGATTTACATGAAAGTTGGTGTTTAATAATGTGGTCAGTTCTTGTCTGTTGAAATATGGCATAAAATAAATATGTATGTTTTATCTGAGAGAGAGGCATGATGTGAGGACAGGACTGAGAGACAAGAAGTATAACGTTCTAATTCCAGTCCTGTCACTGGCTCTCTGGTTTCAAATGGATCATGTATTCATTCTGTCTCCATCTGTAAAAAGGGATAATACTACTGACCTGTCTCACATGGTTATGGACAGAGTTTATTAATTGTTTTCTAAAGTGCTCTTAAAGATGGATTTTTGTAAAAATGTATATTGTTTTTATGACTAGATTCTTCGAATTATGGAATCTATTTGGGAAGCAGAATCTCTGGACCTGTGTTTGTTGCCATATGGTTGCATTTCTACAGGAAATAAAATAGGTACAGTCTACTTTTTGAGATCAGTCTACTGCAGAATGTCCTGGTGGTAACAAATGACAAAAATGGTACATACATTTTATATCGTATGTCTCTATGTAAGTCATGGCTCTAGGGTGAGTCTTACCTTTGACCCTGTCTTAGTCCCGTCCATGAACACCACTTTCAACTGATATGCCCAACGTCTGCACTTCCCTAAGTAGAATCATCACCTCTGTTTGCCCAATGAGTTTGGCTCCTGTTATATGTTTCCCCTTGGGAACTGTGAATAGTGTGAAAATGCAATGATACAAAACAGCTTCTTTAAAGTCAGGAAGTAAAAACTTAAAAAACAACAAATAGTATGGTAGCACTTTAAAGACTAACAAAACATGTAGATGGAATTATGAGCTTTTGTGGGCACAGTCCACTTCTTCAGATGACAGGAGTGTTAGAAGTCCAGATCCAAGAATAATAAAGGAAGGAGGAAGGGGGAGAGAAGGAAAAAAAGAGAAAGAAAAGGAGAAAAACAAGGAGGGGAGGAAGAAAAAAGAGAAACAGTGAGTAGATAAGCTTCAGAGGAGTAGCCGAGTTAGTCTGTAACAGGAAAAACTTAATAACAAATAGTCTAGTAGCACCTTAAAGACTAAATAGTTACAAGATGCTGATAAGAACCATTAGCACCTTCTTTGTTGGGTTGGTGGGCTAATACAAGATGCTGATAAGAACCATTAGCACCTTCTTTGTTGGGTTGGTGGACTAATACATAGGATGTGGAAGGTAATGTGCAAGCCAGACAATGTCTTTATTCATACCATTTGCATAAGCAGGGCTCGACAAATAATGCAATCTACTCGCTTGTGGCAAGTAGATTGCAACCTGGAAGAGCCCGGTTCAGGCGATCTGCGCATGTGCAGATTGCCGGACAGCACAGCTGGCAAGTGGGGCTTGCCGCAGTTCGGCGAGCCCTGTGCATAAGAATTAAACTTGTAAATGAAGTTAAGTTCCAATCCTTCTCTGTGTATTTGGCTTGTGGAATTTGCCTGAAACAAATTGGTAACTTGGAGATCAATTAATGAGTGTCCAGGTAGATTAAAGTGTTCTCCAGCAGGTTTTTGTGTATTGCCTTGTCGGGATATCTAATTTGTGTCCATTAATTCTTTCCTGTAGAGACTGTCCAGTTTGGCCAATATACGTGGTAGTGGGGCATTGTTGGCATTTGATGACATAGATCACTTTAGTGGGTGTGCAGTTAAATGAGCCTCTGATTTGGTGGCTGATGTGGTTGGGCCCAGTGATGAAATCGCTGATGTAGATCTGTGGGCAGAGTTGGCACCAGGGCTGATTGCAGGGGTGGGTTCCTGGATGATTATGATGGAGGTGTGTTGCATGGTTACTGGAAAGAATTTGTTTGAGGTAGGGGGTTGTCTGTAAGCGACGACTAGCCTTTCCCCCAAGGCCTCTGAGAGTGAGAGATCATTTTCCAGGATAAGGTACAGATTGTTGATAATGTGTTGGAGGGTGTGACAGACCGGGCTGTGTCTGGGCACAACTGAGGGCGTCTGCTCAGGGCGAATTGCTCAACTTCGGGGCTCCTTACAGCCCTCAGACTGGTGACCTCTCCAAACAGGCCACAAACCAGTCCCACAGAGCACTTCAGCCGCCTGCCTGAAGCCTCACAAGCAAAACCCCTCTGACACCCCAGCAATATCCATGCCCCAGATGGCCTTGGGCCTCACACACAGGTGGGGGGTCCTAGCACCCAATCCCACCTACCCCGAACAAGTTCTGTCCGGTTCCAAGAAACCAGCCACAGATCCCTGGTCAATTTACCCT